CTTTGAACCTAAATGTAGATATTGAATAGGCAGATAGGCTCTAACTTCACTGATAAAGGAGGTCCAGATTTGGCCGAAAGGTTGATTCTTTGAGTAAAAAGGAGATTTTTTGAAGAAGAACATACAGTAGATGTCTTTGCCGCTTCCAAAAACATATTGAAAGGCTTCCACTGTTTCCTAGCGTACCTCAAAACCTCCACAATAAAAAAGAAAAAGCCTCAACAGAAAGCATTTCCTCCACAGTCGAAACCTTCAGCCATGATGGCTTCATCGAAGCTCTTTCCTCACTATCTTCTCCATCAACGCCGTCCTCTGATACTGCAGAGTCATCTGAGGACTGGACAGGACTTTGGAAGTGATACAGCAGAACAAAAACTGAAAGCAGTCATTCTTCGGTTCCGCTCTGCTGCCGCCACCTCAGACACGCACCGCTGCCACCATATTGACCTATGACTCCTTTCTCATAACACTCCAACACCCCATCAAAAGTATCTGTTATTAATGCATGGTACATGTCAATAGATCATTGCTATATCGTAGTTTAGGCATCAGTTATATTTTGATCATATTTCATCTGATTACATTACTGATTTTAGATTTAAACAGATTTTTGTGATGATAAAAATTATAATCCTTTCATTTTCTGCATGAATGTAGTTATATATAAATAAGGAAGTTGTATAAAATGAAACTTATGGAAGTTTCTTTGGAATAAATATGCCTTCAGACATGGATCTACAAAAAGTCATGACTGTTTACAGTGTGCTCTACCAAAGAATGCAAAAGCATGGGAAGTTGAGTGGAAGGAAAAAGCTGTAGATGGAGTCAGAGATGTTTGGAAACATACATCCAGGAAATATATCACATCTGTCACTGTTTGCTGTCATTTTATGACACCATAGTGACGTTTTAATGGAGAGTCCTGAAATAGAAGTCACAAACAATATGCAGAGAGGAATTTTTTAAAAAATTATAAAGGAAAATAACCTTCCTAAGAAGACTGACTATGAGAAAAAAAAAAACCTCAGAAAAATTAAAATACAAAAAAAAGGAAGAAAATATCTTACAAAAAAGACTAGAACTCTTTTAGAACAACAACAAAAAAAAAAAAAAAACAACAAAATCTTTTGCATTTTATCAGGTAATCCAGGTCCTGGAGGCTTGAAGTAGTTAGTGGTTTACTTGAGGTCCAGAGTGAAGTTCTGTCAGTCAGTGATGATTTGATGTGATGATCCTGCTGCTGCTGGTCCATGTTTTTTTATTAAATCAAAAAAACAACAACTTCATGCTTCCCTCTGCTAGTACACTTTATGAACTTTATGAAGTGTTCATTTCCACCAAGATCATGCAACTAACTACATGTTGACATCATTACTTTATACAGCAACCTCCTAATTATACAAAACATTAAAACATACAAAACATCTGTAATTCTGACCCAGATTTATAGTATTATTGACAATTATTGACATTAAATCTCCATCATGTCCCAGAACCAAGGGAGCTCTTCAAGAAAAACAGCTTATGTTTTAATCAATTTATCATTATGTATCTATTTATTTATTTAAATTTTTTAATCTCAGGGGACTACGAATAACATTGATAATCTGCTAAAAGTGTGTCTTTTTTGTCTCTTTTTTTTTTTTCCATGGTCGACATGCTCCACCTGCTGTTCACAGAGGGGAACACCACCGGAAGACGCTTTATGTTTTAAATCTCGCGATATCAGGCCGAGCGAGACTTGTGGACGTTCTTTTCCACTGGATCATCGGGCAAGATGGTAGGTATCGCTGCTGGAGCAGTGCTTTTTAAACTCTATCCTGGTCCATCTGGGCTTTTCTGTGAATTATTTTAACAGCTGGTTGTATCGTCCGACCTTTACAGAGTTTTTCTAACATTTCTGATGAATATTGTTTCATAAAATGGTTTAAATTGTTGCGGATGGTTGTGTTTTAGCCTTAGCTTTAGGCCGGCTGTTTGCTACTTAAAACCGATAATTGAAAGTTCCCTTTGGTTTAATTTTAAAGTAAATCGCACTAAATTCTGTACACGCGTGTAATTAAGCGGTTCAGTTGGTGTTTTATAATAATAAACATGTCCGGTTGTATTTAGGTTGTAATCAATCGCGTATGCTAACCTGTTTAGCCACACTCGCTAACTATAGTGATGCTTGACTCTGGCAGGCGGACACCGAGATCAAGAAGAAGCGTACCTTCAGGAAGTTCACCTACAGAGGGGTGGACCTGGATCAGCTTCTGGACATGTCCTAGTAAGTGACTCTGACCTGCTACAGTTTCTGCACTCAGAATGATGCCATTACTAATGTTCTGAATGTTTATAACCGGGTGGATTCAAAGTTAAACTCCTTGTTGGTCTAATACCTGAGCCTATGACACAGAATCTGATTCCTTATTTAAAGGAGCAGAAATATAATTATTAATATCACATTGGGTCATATTTGGGTTTATATGCTTGGTTTGGTGATTTATTTTATTAAAGACCAGAATGTGTAATTGGGAGATCTGAACTGGAGATATCAGATTATTTTTTTGATCTTCTGTCCAATGGCCGTCTCATCTGTTTGCACATCTTCAGCTTCCATCATGACCTTCAGTTTTTTTGTCTTCCTTTCTGCTGACTTAAAGATGTAAAACTAAGGCTCAGATGTCAAACTCTGGTCTGGTAGGACCACTGTTCTGCAATCTTTGATTCTTCTCTTCATCTTGCCTTATATGGCAAATATTTACAATAATTTGAAGGACAGTCCCCCAGGAGGACAGGATATTGAGATCGCTGCCCTATAAAATGTATTTTCCATGAAAGCTGCAGACATTTTTACATCTAGCAGGTTTCCTCTGACAGAGAGCTTAGTCCAAATAGAATAACTTTGCTCTACTAAGCTCGACCTTCCTGTTATCTGCTTAAATCTTTCTTCTGCGTTTGCAGCCCTAAAGAACCAAATAACCTTTTTTGACTACATAATTTTAGCACTTTGCTAAGCCTGAATATAGCTAAGCTGAAATGTTCCTCACTGGTGAACAGATGTGCACAGATGTGGTGCTGGTGTGCTCTTGTCTTACCATAGTTGGTCATATTGGTAAAGATGAGATTAACCAGGACAAAGTGAAATAATTTGTATCCAAAAAACAGTTTTTTTTCTTGTCCTACATGGCCAATCACCTGTTGTGTGAAAGCATATAGTGAATCATTCTGTAATGAATGAGAAGTCTCCTCCTTATAACTGCCATTAGAACAGATTTTTCTCAAAGATGTGCAGGACACCATCCCTGGAGGACTGGAACATTTTTCTTTTGTAGTATATGGAGAGAAATTTGTTCCAATATTAGAGAGGAATATTGTTTAAAAAAAAACTTCATAGAAAATTATTTTCAATTTGGAGCCTTTTTTTGTATGCAAAAGCTTTTTTTCTAAGATTTCATTCGTTATTTTTTTTGTATAATTTTTTGTTTATGAAACTTAAGTTTTATGGTTTTATTTTTACGTTTTCCAAAGTTCCATTTTTGAAACCTGTTCTTTGTCTTCTATAATAGGATGCATTAATCACTGGGTCTTAATATTCCTAAAACAATTGTTTATTCTTCAGAAACCTTGAATGAGAGAAACATGCTTAAAATGTGACCCTGTTGCTTATGTTGGGTCGTCTCTTCCTAAATCCAAAGTTCATAGACATGCTTTGAATTTAGCTGAAACCAGTTTGAAGGTGATGCAGGAGTGCAAAGCTAAACGTGTGTAAAATGTCAGTCGATCTTATGAAATAAAACTCCAACTCTAAAGAAAAAAGTTTGTAACCTTCTGTGTGTCGTTTTTCTGCAGCGAGCAGCTGATGCAGCTGTACTGCGCCCGCCAGAGGAGGAGGCTGAACCGCGGCCTGCGCCGCAAACACCAGTCCCTCCTCAAGCGGCTTCGTAAGGCGAAGAAAGAGGCTCCTCCTATGGAGAAACCAGAGGTGGTGAAGACCCACTTGAGGGACATGGTGATCCTGCCAGAGATGGTCGGCTCCATGGTCGGCGTGTACAACGGCAAGACTTTCAACCAGGTTGAGATCAAGGTGAGCGTCTCTGACCGATGCTGGGAGTTCAAGATGGAAGCTTTTCATTTTCTCTACGGACTGAAACAGTTTTGATTTTCTACCCTTAAACCAGCTCAACTTTTCATTCCACTGTTTGATGTGTAATCCCACCAGTCTGATTTAGTTTTTGTCCTTTTTTCACTGCAGCCTGAGATGTGTGGCCATTACTTGGGAGAGTTCTCCATCACCTACAAGCCAGTCAAGCACGGTCGCCCTGGTATCGGAGCCACACACTCTTCCCGTTTCATCCCTCTGAAGTAAAATGGCTGTATTGTTTATATAAATAAAACAGAAAATAAACTGGGCTTCCCCACAATGTTGTAATGTTTGTTTTTTTATTGCATCAAATCTTGCATAAGCCTATATTTAAAATATTTTGAATCTTATATTTCATTAATTACACCTTCCATGGTTTATTTTAATGAATATTATGGTGGCTTCCATCAGATCTGTGTGCTGTACTTATGGCTGAGGTATAAAGCATGTCAGGTGCACTTTCTCAAAAATACAGACATTAATGTTATAACTAATAAAAGAATAAAAACTGGATCTTGAAGTCAATCCCTTTGGGGATTATTCAGCCCTGGCCTTTTATTTTATGTGTATTTCATTGAAATTGACACCAAAAACTAGATAAATGATGGTTGTAGCAGGAATTATTAACCATGGGAGTGATTTTTAATTACTTTTTAAATAAAGTCGCATTTTAGGCAAGCCTGGTCCTTTTTGGTTTTAATAGAGGTTTAATCTAGATAACGGGATTAGTTCCTAATGGATTTATTTACAGTTGGATGTTTTTTGGCGACTGAAAGCCAGATAAAAGCCGCTTCTCTAAAAATACAATAAAAAAAGAGGTGCGTCTTGGAAAAAGTACCGATGTGTAACTAGTCCACCGGGAGCAAGGTTCCCCCCTCTCCTCCGTTCCCAGTCTGTGTGCCAGCTGCATCTTGTGCGGCTGTTTCGGCCATGGATTCAGCCGCGAAACCTGTCTGACACCAAGCTAATAACCCATAGCTGATAAAAGAAGCTGTAACCTAACCGGTAAGTAGCGGGGTTAATTTGAGCCCGGGCATTAGAAGGTGGTTGTCCGGGATCAGTTTTCACAGAAAGCGCCGCCGCGGCTACCAGCTTCGGTAGCTAGCTAGCTAGCTAGCCGGAGAGCGAAAGTGACAGAGAAGGAGAGTCCTGTCAGAATCCAACCAATGAAGAAAACTGCTGTTTAACGACCGCGTCCAACAGCTCTGGCCTTTCAAGGTCGCTGTGATACATAACATCGGTTCTTTTATTGGTTTTAAACAGCAGCCAGCTAAGTGTTACCGGCGTTACTGAGGAGTTGCAATCTGAGAACAAAGCTCCATTGTAGGCTAGCTAACTGTAACACACCCGGTATGGTTCTGTTCCACCCGGGGTTTGTTGTAAAAGGATCTCGTAGACAGAAGCAAGTGATTTCTGAGATGTTTTGTTTCATAAATGAACATTTTAATTTGGTAGCATAGCAGCAGAAGGAAGACACCACCTCTTAACCTGCAATACAAATAAAAGATTAAATAAAAACGAAAACACTGTTTAATTCTGTCAAGTTCTGGATCAAATATTTTGTTCGCCTAATCTGTTGGGAAGGTCTCAGCTCTGAGTCATGACAGATCAGTATTCTCCTCCCCTGTGAGCTGTTGTCTAATGAAGGGGATGCTTCATCCCAGTCAACAGCAATTATCAGGGCAGGAAGGTAAAACAGGAGCTTTAGTGGTTTGAAGGCTCAGTTTTTCCCCATAGCTTCCTGCGTCATGCTGATCTGAGTCAGATCTGAATTACTAGCTGTGAGCCTTCAGTTTTCCCAACCAACAGGCCTTTAAAGGAATAGTCTGGTCATATTCAGAATTCAAACTTCTGAAAGTACTTTAAATATGAAATTATTCCATACTGTTCAATAAATAAGTGTTTTTAATTAAGAGTAATTTTCATGTGAATGTGCTTTACTGGAGGCATCCATGTTTGTCAAAGAACACTACTGCCACCTACTGGTTTGTGACGTCACGGTGCAGTATCGGCTGTTGATCAAGTCCCAATGCTTTATCTGGTGTTTGTCTAAACAAGCT